AGTAATATTGGAACTCCTTTTCACTAATTTTCACTCAGTAATTTAAAGGAACCTCTCTTATCTCACCTTTCGTTAATGAACAGTTTAAATAAAAGGTAAACAGATATTTTGCTCTTAACGAGCTAAAATATTCTTACCTAAAGTATTTCATAGTTTATTTTATATGAGAAAACAAACAAACTAGAAAATCATACCCTAGTCAAAATTACACTGGCGGATTTTAAGAGGATGTCTCAAATCATCACACCACAAAACTGAAACCAAACCAAAAATCCCCAAAGGAAGAAAACAGCTTAGTTTTTAACACTGGAGAAGTATCTACCACGCCGCAGTGACGCGTGCATGTACAGGACACAATCTGCTGTAAGATACTGGAGGATTCTTATTTCAGACAATTTGCAGAGAAGTCACCCTAGCCATCTCCACTAGCAGCAACATCCAAAATTATTATTTTTTTGTTGTTGTCCGAAGCACAGAAGGCCCTTCAGTTTTCAGCCTAAGTTAGCTCCTTTGGCAGGGAGATGTTCAGACCAGTCGCTGTGGCCACGGCCCCCGAGCCATCGCCCTCACAACCAAACCCAAAATCACACGTGGGCTGGGAGACAAAACTGCGAGCTTTTCTCATCCCATTTTACAGATGGGGGAAAAGGAGGGCTGTGACTTGCCCGGGGCCACAAAGCCATCAGTGACACAGCCCAGACCAGACGACAGCTCTCCTGACACCGTGCTTGGGCCACCTGAATTGGGTATTTTAGCTGCTTCTGCCGGGCTCTGCAGGGCTGGAGGGCAGCGACGGCCGCCTCGCAGGCTGGCTGCAAGTTTACAAGAAGAATTGCCATCCTTCAGACAATGATTAATTGCCTCCCTTCCAGGCATTACTATTATTAGTACTATTAATTATTTGTATGCAATGTATCAGTGACAAACGGGGCTAGCACGCCCTGCTCCTGCCTGAAGTACATTAGGACTTGCAACAGCTGGCAAGTCAGACGGGCACACTGGGACTTCCCCGCGTCCAACCACCGCTTGTAAGCGCTCAGATTTGTACTTCTACACCCCGTTCTAAGCAGTGAATAAACCCAAGGTCCTTCTTTAAAGTCAGAGTTTTATTTATACATAGAGTTGGGAGTTGTAAAACACATACTATGTCAATGCCTGCTTTGAGTTTTTACTGTTTAAAAGCTCCAAAGCAGCTGAAGCTGGAGCTGGCAGAAAATATAAGGTGGGTGATCTGGGCAAGACAGTCTGCCAGCTCCATTTTGAATTGTTTTTTTTAGCTTCAGCTCTAATCTCAGAATTAATGTATGAAAAAGGGGGAAATGGAAAGCAGGAGAGGACAACTGACCACAAAACCAATCAACTATGGTAGGTACGTGGGTGACCTTCTTCCATGTAAGTAGTGACAAGCCACCCACGTGATCATCACAGTCATTTGCATTTTTGAGGTCTTCCATTGTGTTATTCAGATCACAGAATCACAGCATGGTCAGGGCTGGAAGGGACCTCTGTGGGTCACCCAGTCCAACCCCCTGCTGAAGCAGGGTCACCCAGAGCAGGCTGCACAGGACCACGTCCAGGCGGGTCTTGAATGTCTCCAGAGAAGGATCTGAGGATTTTTCTTCCCCTGCTCCACTGATCAAGCAAATGAGTATTTTTTTAAGGTCTTCTCAGTGATGAGAGTTGTTCATTGTCTTTTCCTCACATGCCTTACAGCTGTGCTGCTCCAGGCTCAGAGCAGGAGTGAAGCTGCACCGTTTTTTTAATACACATATCGAGTGCACTCATGAGATCCTCCTAAGTGACACCTGCCACAACAAAGCTGGGATGCAGATGCAAAAATTAAGAAAACAGCATCCAACGGAGAAAGGAAAATACATATAACGATTTTGAAGGGGAAAAGAGAAAGAGTCGGGTGGAGAAGAATCAGTATTTTTCTTCCGAGATAAAATAAAGCTGCCCACTGACCTGGGATGGCAGTGAGCCCCAAGGTCCAGCAAGACAACTTTTGTGAATTCGTCAAAACGCCTGATCGTGTCCGCTGTCCTACATTTCTCTCCATGTGACTCACCGTGTGCACGTTACAGAGGGTAACGTAACGAGGGCTCTGTTGGCAGTTCCTCCCGATGGGTGCATAAACTGTTTGCAATCAAGGTAAGCATCGTGTTGGTCCTTACGAGCTGTATTTAATTTTACTTGATGCTTTTACTCTCTAGTCAGGCAGTAACTCCCTCTGAAGGTGCACAAGGGACACAAACATTTCTAGTGCATCTCTAAGTTAGCAGCCCTGTAGGAGGCTTTTAAAAAACTGCTGCTTTGGTCAAATATTGAGTTTCTGGATTATGGGAATGCCTGGGGGGAGGAAGAGGGGAAAGGGACTTCTGAGGCTGCATGGAAACCCCAGAAAGAAAACAGATTATTTCCTTCTTTTGAGGGATGCGACTGTGAGACAGGGCTTATCAACAGAATTCCCAGTTCTCATGTGAAATATCTTTATCAGTCATGAAGTACAATCTTGCCATGAGCAGCTTTTCCTCCGGCAGCAAAAGTGAGCAGGAATCTGAGCAGTTGCTAATCCCCTCCTTCTCCCAGGCTCCACCTGCTAACCACAACAGGGCTGGATGAACGCGTCTCATCACCGACCCTGCACAAGATCACTTCTTAACTCTTCCACCTGCAGTATTTTACAAGGGGATAATTTATCTCCCATCGGTTTGAGGGGGTGGGGTGGTGTTTGAACGCTTAAGGGGTTTTGATTAACTTTATTTTAAAGAGGACCCTGAAGAGCATTATATTTATCTTGCTTAAAAAAACCCACAAGGAATATATCTTGAGCTAAATGTCTATAAATATTAGGCTGTCACTTAAAAGCGCCATCTCCACCCCACACAAAGTACTCACGCCGTTGTGTCCCAGTAATGTTTCTGGGGTATTATTACCATAGAATCATTAAGTTTGGAAAAGACCTCTAAGATCCTGAAGTCCAACCACCAACCCAACACCGCCATGCCTGCTAAACCACGTCCTGAAGTGCCACGAACCAAATCCGGAACAAAATACACTGGGAAAAGACCCAACCAAAAAACCCCACAGCTCCTGATGAGATCAAACAGGAGTCAGTGGGATCGGAAGGAGCAACACCGTGAGAGCACAGAGATCTGGAGCGGGGGACGGCAATCCTCAAACCCCATCGATTCGCCCGCCAAACTGTGCTTTGTGGAGCTAAGCCCTGAATGACCATTTCTCACGCACCCGTCGGAGCCAGGCCGAGAAGGTGCACTGTCCGAGGAGATGGAAGACACCGACGCCACGGAGAGGGGTCTTGAAGACGACGGCATCGTGAAGGATCTCACCATAGACCGTGGCCGACTGCCTCGTCTATCATCCAGACTTGAAAGCTGCAATAAAGAAATATAAGATCTTACTTCTTAAATCACAGTGTAGCTGACGTCTGGCTACCAAAAGTAGTGTGGAAAGGTTTGACGGTTTTTCAGCCACGTAGAGTTTTGTATTATTTAATTATACACTGTGTTTGACAACAAAGAAACAAATTCTGAAGAAAATCCATTTAAAGGACTAGGAAGAAATATTTAGGTCCTCATAGGCATATGTATAATTTTAAACATACTCCAGTAGTTCATTTGTTTCAATGGTATTTATGTGCTTTTTTACACCTGGACTTTAAAAAGGAGCTTTCTACAAATAATTTTTTATTTTTAATCCATCTCTGCAGCTGAAATGACTGCCCTGTCAGTATATTCAAATGCAACAGAGTTTTATTTTTTTTAAAGAAAAAAAAGAAAAAACCCACTAAGAAGAACTTTATGTCAAGTGAGCCAATTTACAGAGCAACATCTAGGATAAGAAGAAGATATATCAAAGTTTTTTTTTTTTTCCAGACAATCTCAGAGTTCTGAATATTTATACAAGCTTTGTTAGTCATTAATAACTGATATATGCATAAAATAATTGAACTCTTTCAGTCAACAAGTAAGAATCTCATGCTGTTTAATTACAGGTATATTTTCCACCCTGTCAACTACAGGTAAATTGGCCTTGTACAAGGAAGACAGAAGTGATAAAACTCCATCAATCCTGACAATTCTTACCGGTGGGTAGAGTGAAATTATAAAGATAACACCACCTGCGTACGACTTTCCAGTCATCTCCTTGATGATGGAAATGTATATTATTGAAGTGACTGACATGCAAGTATCATTAATGTCAATTATTCCTGTTCTCCTTGGGAATAAATTACTATTTGAACTTTTCCTAAATATATTAGCAAGATGGGATCTGAAGGACTACAAACGGAACACCACTGAGAAAGCTACCACTGAGGCTGGCACATTCCACATAAGATCTCAGTGTCCCGATTAAAAAAAAAGTCATCGCTACAGACAAAAGTGATAATTAATCTCTGAAGGAAGACCTGCCACAAAGTACAACCAGATACCTCACGCATGTACTATCCCACTTTGGTCGGGGCCACACCGCATCGCTTGTCACGTGTTTGCTGCCCCGCCTGCGGCAGCATCCTTCTGGCTGCCTCCTTAGCCAGGATGCTCTGCACCTCAGGCAGCAGAAAGCTGAAGCTCTCTCCCTCACCCTATCCACTCTTCAGAAGAAATACCTGTGGGGCTTCCCAGAGATAATTGGGAACCAAATTCACACCTCGTTTACACAGGCGTGACTGGTGTCACATCATAAGGTGTGGCATGCACCCATTAGTGACCACAGCTGGTACTGGATGAAGAAGGTGCTGGTTTAGGGCTGCTCAGGCACATCTAGGTTGCTTCACTCTTTTCAGAATCAGTTTAGTGATTGCTGCTCATTTAGGGGCTTGTAATTACAACTTGTAATTGTTACCACTTCCCCACCCCCTCATTTCTCAATCTTTTGTTTCGTAACTTCTGAAGGACCAGATTGTGATGGAGCTCCCACCTGATATTCTCGCCTTGGAGGGAGGAAGGGCATGAAGAGGGCACCACTTCCTCTGCGATCTCTCTGTGTGGTTGTGCTTTAGACACCGAGTTTTCAGGTACAAAGTAAAAACCATTACTGCAGATGTTTTTAGCCTCATGGCTGTAGACATAACCTTCAAAACCTGAGCCCACGAAGTAACATCTGCCTCAACACACACGCTCATTGATGCAGCACCTCCAAAAACCATGACCCAACCCCAACCGGGGCAACCATACCATTTGGGATTTTCACAAGGAAGCCACCGCTCCCTGGTGGGGAAGCCCCTGCCATTCCAAACCATGTCCTTCACCTGCTGGGACCTGCTAACGGGCTCTCTTGTTAAAAGGCAATTACTGGGATTACATGCAAGCTCCTTATCTGCTTCCAGGGTGCTGGGCAAAGCCAGGGATGGAGACGCGACGGCACTCCAAAGTGTGGGCTGGTCAGCTGGTTTTCCTGCGCCACGGCCCAGTAATTAATGGTCTGCTGGTGATTTCCTCTGCTTTTAGATGGCTTTTGCTAACAGAAGGTGGATCTGTGCAATCTTACTAAGTCACTGCTTTTTGAGATGGTTTGGTTTAAATATCAGTCCTTTCTGTGGGAAATGGTTTCTGGTATAGGATACTCACCAGTTCAACTTGGGGACAATGCGTATAGTCCTGAACGGTACCACACTGTTTGCTCTTTTGGAGATAAATTGTGTGTTGCTGTAGGCCACATGTAACATTTTCTCTAAAAACCGGCTGTGTGCTGTAGCTTGAAGCCTAACTACACACGGCGAACCAAAACGAACATGGCAACTCAACAGCGAGTAGGTCTGACGATTCCAAGTCCAGCTGAAGACTTCTGCAGAAAAGGGGAAGGGACCCCAGAGCCTCCTGGCCCTTCCACCGTGCCGAGGACAGGCTGCTGCTGGCAGGAGGGAGCTGACTGCCTGCCAGCTCACCTTGGCACCGCACGCACAGCACGCGGGCTACCTCCGCGTTAGAGGACACATCGGTCTCTTCTGACAAGCATCCGTGCTTTATCTGCTGGAGCAGTCAGAAGATATGCACTGCACATGCAAGTTTCACGTCCCGCTGGCATCTCACAAATAAATCCCCAAAATTATAACGCGTTTACAACGGCGCTGTCAGGATTACAGCTAGACTGAGATAAAACTCGCCCTGGTGGCCTCCAAGACATTATTAGGACATCAGCTCCGCGTAGTCAGCCCTAGAGCAACTTGAACCACTTGCATCTCAGGTTTTTAGATCGCTTTAAAAACTGATTCATATAATAGCACCCAACGCGCATGGATTTTGTCAATTATATTCCCAGTTACGAAGCTGTATGCTGACTTTTGGCCTTCCTCCCCAATGGGCAACACTCCAATTAGAAGCAGAAGAAAACCCCACTGGAAACGCCACCAAATTCTGGGCTGTGCCTTAAAGACGAAGCAGCAACTGAAAAGAGCTGGTTGGAATGACAGAAGCATGAACTCCAGCACTACCAAATCTCATTAAGCAGCAGCTATCTATCGCCTGCCTACATTCCGGGTGCTGGAATCCGAGCTGCCGAGCACAGCCCTCACTTCCAAGAGGAACTACACCTACGGAAAGGTGACATTCCGTTCTAGAAGAATGACGCTACAGTGCCCTTGGTGGCAATTTTTTTAAAAAAACCCAATTCCTTAAAAATGGAATATTGAAGAATTATCTTGACTTTCAAGGAACAGCCTCAGGCGATTTAGAAATTGTTCCCATGCTAGAAAATGGAAGAACCAAGGCTTTCTGAACATCTCTTACAGTATCTGCTCATCATTTAATGATTTATTATTATTTATTGGCTTCAAGTGATGGCCACTGAGAACAACCAGGCAAAGCCGCATCAACACTGCCTCTTTCAGCCCTGAGAACTGTAATACCGAAACACAAAGCTGCACATAAGTTACAGAAAATCCACATGATTGGGAAGTTAGGAGGTGACTTACGACAGCTCGGACCCCGTACTGTTTCTCCACTTTGTCTTTCAGCTGCCTGAAGCAAGCCTCCATCCGCTCGTGGAAGGGCCGCAGTGCCTCTGTCACCTTCTCCCCGTGAATCCGGATGCCTTCCGCCAGGAACGGGATCTGAAAAACCGAGTTACCCTGCTTCAGTCTGCCCAGTCCGTCCTCAGCGAGGGTCAGGGCAAGACTCCCACGTGTGGTGCAAGAGGAGTGAAAGCTCTCATGGAATTATTACTATTATTATTATTATTATTAAAATTATTTTCAGCACCATCACCCATTGTATATGAAGCACAAACAGTAAAAAAGGATCCAAAGATCTGTTACAGAATCACAGCAAGGCCGGGGTTGGCAGGGACCTTCCTCTGTGGGTCACCCAGCCCAACCCCCTGCCGAAGCAGGGTCACCCACAGCAGGCTGCACAGCACCGCGTCCAGGCGGGTCTGGAATATCTCCAGAGAGATATTCAAAATCGTATTACATGTGATTTCCTTTTTCCTCTGTGAACCAAAGTCCTTTAAAATTAATACGCCCATAGTTCTGCCCGGTAATCCTATACTGGAGGCACAGCTGACTTCACCAGACAGCACAAATATTCCTGTGACCTTCTACTCACAGGCCCCCCCCCATGCTGTACTTCAAAATGGCAAACCCATGAACGATGACTCTCACACCGGGTTCTCAGTATCAGTTCTTTCCCAGGTTCACTAGCATAAAACCTTGAAGAATAAAACACTTGTATGTTTTCTTTAATAAATGTTATGTCTAGAACTGCAAATGAGTTACATCCTCAGACATCTATATATTGCAGAGCAATATTTACTAATAAATCATATAGTTTTATACACTACACGTTTCTCCTTAGAAAACTTATTTTATTTTCTTTGGGAACAAAACAGAAGAGAAAAAAATTAAATTAATTCTCTTTTGTAACTGAAAATAATCATTTATCTTCAAGGCTGCTGTCACAAAATATCCCTGCCAACACAGGATTATATAATTAGTTCATAGTGTGGAGGTGTACCTGACCTTTTAAAATGTTTTAAGAGAGACATTTTCATTCCCACAGCTATCCAGACACACTATTAGAGTTTTCTACCTCCAGCTTAGGAAAAATATTTCCTCTTGCAGGTCTGCTGCAGCCCACGCAGTGCTCTGATTCTAAGATATTCTCTGCAGCAATCAAGATAAGAGGCTTCTTCTTAATAATTCATAATTAAATCATAATATTAATTAAAACCATCTTTTTCTAATAAGACTGATCAGCAATCGGAATGAGTAGCTTTATTAGTAAGGAGAATAATAAATACATAGATAAATTACAGATGAACAAACTCAAGAAATCTTATCAAGGCAATTCTCTGCGATTTGGCACTACTGAAATGGACACAGTTTCTTCTCCTAAAAGACTACAAAGAGAAGTAAGAATAATGACAAAGCTTTTTACTGTAGCCACTTCTATTTATAGCCGTATGGATTTGTACTCTACAAAAATGTAACACGAAAATCACAAAATTTCCCTGCTCTGAGTAAATAAATGGATTTCCAAAATTTTGTAATTATCAAGCCACACTGTGACCCTCCTGTTTTGCAGGCATAAGTGGTCACTTGGCTCATTTATTTAAAAGAACCTGCTGACTTTTGAAATGCATTGTTTAAAAAAAAATCAAAGTACCAAGATGAAGTACATGTGGGGTCTGAAGCTCCAGGTCTGCGGTGATTTTTACAAGCAGAAAACGCATGAATGAGCCTGTCCTAGGGAGCAGCCGTCTCCAATTTAGAAAATCAAGCAATATAAAGTAAATTATATTTTGGAGGGAAATGTCCCAGTCAGGAAAAAAAATGTAGGTGCTTCCTTCTGCACAAGAAACTGAAGGCACTAAGGAGAGTTTCACTGTTGGTACACACCAGAGGTATGCACCAGGTGTATGCAGCCAGCCCTCCAGAGCTTCTGGCGCTTGGAGAAGCAAAATAAGAGGAGGGTTGGTGACAAGGTCTGCTGGAGTGAACGCGGGTTGGGCTGGGAGAACGTCAGCACCTGAAGCCTGGTGGCCTCCTGGCACAGGAACTGGTGAGTCAAAAGATCAGGAAACAGGCAAGACGAGGCACCAACTACAAGGGAATGAAAGATGACCAGAAGAAGAAAGAAGAAGGTAGAATAGGAAGGAATAAGAAGAAAGAAAAGAAGAAAAAGAAGAAAGAAGAAGGAAGAAGAACAAGGAAGAAGAAGGAGAACAAAAAGAAAAAGAAAAATAGTAAGAAAAAGAAGAAACAGAAAAAGAAAAAAGAAAAAGAAAAAGAAAAAGAGAAAAAGAAAAAGAGAAAAAGAAAAAGAGAAAAAGAGACAAAGAAAAAGAGAAAAAAAGAAAAGAAAAAAAAAAGAAAAAGGGCTTTTTTTTCCTTAAGGGAAGCTGAATTCAACAAACCTCTCATGGCTTTACTACAGAACTGCAAGGTCTCCGAGTCGGGATATTTGGTCTCCCTGTCCAAGACCTTTAAAAATCCTTTAAACCTTTATCAATTACATAAAGTACCTTCAGACTGGTTTACCATTTCTGCTTCGCCTTGTTCTACTGACTTCAAAATTCTTCCTACCTCTCCTTTCCAGGCACTGACACAGGGAAATCCGGTGATGAGGAATTTTAAATCTAGTTGCATCTTTGTAGGATGCGGAGAATAAAGGCGGAATTCTGCCACGTCCATGCTCCTGCCAGTTCAGCTGGCTCTGGAGCAACAGGTGGGTTTGCTTACGGGTCTATTGCAAAAGGTCCTACAGGGTGCTCCCACCCTTGGAGAGGTGAATCAAAAAGCAAAGGTCATGGAAGTAGCTGAGCTAGAAACGAATGAGCTGAATGAGAAAGGAAACCAGCTCAAGATAGCACTTGTTCCAAAACTCTAATCCTTGTTGATTTTAAAAATTTACAGTCCACTGCAACTTTAAATTAAAATTATTCCCTGATTTTTTCTTTCTTTTTTTTAAAAAAAATAAATCTTGATCTGCTTGGCTGAAAAGAATGAAAAAGCTACACACATTTGAATTATTAAAATTAATATAAAATCTTACATCTTAAAAGGAAATATTTCATAATAATGGTCTCATAAAATATGATCGTAAAAACTTGGTTTTGTAGGCTAGAATTCTTTCAGCTATGCAGAAGTAGCACGAGACTTTTATGTGACAAATTAGTTTTGGTATGCTGTAAATACATTAGCTAAACGCAGAGTGATGAGTGTCATCAATCATTCATTTCATCACCATCATTTCAATCAATCACTTCATTATCTTCATGCTAAAATAAAAGTTCAGCTTGAAATGATGTAGTTGCATGGAAAGATTTTTTCTAAGTTGAAAAAGCACGAAGGTGGATAAAAATGGACATTGCTTTACTAACAATACTTGTCTGAAACCAAAAAAAACAGAAAAAACCCACATAATTACAGTTCATAGGAATTGTAAAAGGCCAACGTCCAGAGGAACATGAATTCCAACGCACAACAGAGACAAAGGGAAGGTAGGGGGATAGAAAAAAATGAAATTTAACAAGTCAGCTGATAATCTGATTGTCAGGCTACAATTTCATCTATCCAGATTGATTTCTACAGCAGAAAAAAAACCTCTGCAGGATTACAAAACTCCAAGCCCCGCATTATTGAAAAATGAAAATTCCTTTTTGCTTTCAATCACTGCCAAGCCCGCGATGAATCCCGACCGCCGCCTCACCGCGCCAAGTTCCCGTCACAACTCCCTCTCCCAAAAAAGAATTTGTGATCCCTTTTCTCTAGTCTTCTGGTTCCTATCGCCTTGGAACTACAATCCTGAAGGGAAATCATGTATTTAAAACCACTGAATAATTAAAATACAATGTGATTAGCTGCCATACATATTTTTCAATAGTAATATTATTTTAATACACACATGTCACCAAAACGCATCTTTGCTGAGGAAAAGGGTGTTTGCAATTCATCTGAAGTATCGCTATCAGAGGCAAAGACAGAGAGCTGACATGAAGTCAGTCTTCTGGGATCAAATTATTCTCCTCTATAAAACGTAAAGCTCCTAAAATCTAATCTTCTGTAAAAGCTCACAAGAAAATAAAGAAATAAATTCATAATTTTTTTTTCAGGCCAAAAGAGTTTTTATACTGTGATAGTTTTATGGTCTTCAAAGGATTTTTTTTTTTAATTCTGTAACTTTGGTTCCACTACCTCTCAGACTGACACCTATGGAAATGTAAATTATTCCCTTTATTATCAAGACAAAATTGAATATAAAAAGAAAATGATGCACTTTCTTCTTCATGGAGAAAAACATTTCTAGTCCTACTGGTATTTTTTTAGTCATCATAAAATTATCTTGGGACCACTGAAAAATGTCCAGTATATGGCTATGGAACAAATTTGGAGTTGTTCCTTGTTAGCCCTGAAGAATATTCTTTGGTACGCGTAAACACAGTTCTTCAGCAAGAGGGGGTTCCTGCTTTGTCTGAGGCACCGGGCTGGGAAACCGGGATCCATTCCTGGCTCAGGAAACACCACCCACGGGAGCTTACATTGAAATGATTTCTGCTCTAACGTGGCAACATGAAAATAGCAGGTAATTTTATGCTTTATGATTCAATAATGTTTTTGTACCATGTCAGTTCTACAGCAAATGAAGCAAAGGTTTAACAATGATGAATTTACTAAATATTGTGCATGCAAGTTAATTTTTGCAACTCTCACATTTTATATTCTGCAGTCTCAGTCTACCTAGGAAGTTTAGTGAATGGAAAATACATTGTTTGGAGAAAGCAGTGAGTATGTGAGGAAATACTGTCCCGGTTCGTGGCAGCAGGAGGAGGGATTCAGGGTTCAGCATTTCATTGCATTGTCCAAGAAGGATTTCTGAATCCAGCTTTAGAAAATTAAAATGTGAAACTAAAATGCCAGTAAGACTAACCAGCATGTTTAAAAACCTTTTCTCATTTGATACAGATGAGATATTTTCACTGTACTACAGTCACAAAAAAAAAAAAAAAAAGAAAAAAGAGGCTGATCATGTTTATTCCTTGTGGGTTATCAAATGACAAACGATGTCAGATTTGAAAAGATGAACTTTAGCTCAAGTTCCAGGACAGTTTTAAATGCCAAAGAAGCGTACACAGGGCAAATAGTTTAATGTCTGAACTGTCTCAAACGTGACACTAAACTGTCTTTGTACGAGCGCTGGCCCCAACCAACCTGGCTTCAAATTTCTTTACCTGCCAAGCGATCAGATCCTTTAGTTTTTCGATCTTGTCATGATCTTCTGGATGCTCGTGCATGTATCGTTCAGTAAAAAAAGCCTAGTCAAGAGAGAGAAACGAGCAGTTATTTCAGAAAACGAATCAAAATCTACTACGGAAAAATCACCTCTAGCAAAGATCAACGAGTCAACCCCAAAGTTCTGTAAAATAGTAGCGATAGCTACAGACACAAAGGGAAAATCGAGGAAAGAGACACAGGACTTCACAAGATGAAGACATCAGGCTTTCGTGAGCAGCAAAGGGGGCAGATGAGCAGATGGTGATCAAGGGCCAAACCTCACGGGCAACCCTGCAGAGGACTTCTGCTTGGCACATCTCCCAAATCTCTAGCAGTTCCCAGGGCGTAACAAATGTTGGTGGACGGAACGGGTGAGAGTGCCAGGAGGACACGAACGGATGGATACAGCGACGCGTCAGCATATACCGTCTCCATTTACATTACAAAATACATAATTGCTTGTGTACGCTAGCTTAATAGGATTATTATTCACAACATAAATAACAGATACCGCGTTTATAGCTTTCTGATGTTAATATCTTATCCCACGTAACTTTAAAAGTGAATGTTGTAAATGTGCAGTGAAGATTATTTAGACATATTATATGCTTATAAATATCTGCAGGGTGGGTGTCAGGAGGATGGGGCCAGACTCTTTTCAGTGGTGCCCAGCGACAGGACAAGGGACAACGGGCACAAACCGAAGCAGAGGAAGCTCCAGCTGAACAGGAGGAAGAACTTCTTCCCTCTGAGGGTGACAGAGCCCCGGC